GGCACAGTGCTTTCACCAAGGAGAATAGGATTTAATGATTCGTGCATTCTTTTAAAGGCATTTCATACTTGCCTGAGGCCATGTTGGAACTTCCCAACATACCTGATACATTACCTGTATTAGCTACATTTACATTGTTTTTATCTTTTTGTGCTGTTAAAATTATTTTCTATTTTTATTTAAAGCAGTTAGGAAGATTTTCTATCGTAAAGAAAAAGTAGCTAAAATGTACTTTAATTAAAAAACTGTGTCTGTATAAGCTGCTATTCAGTTAAACCTTGATAATAATTCAGTATATGTTTTAACAATTAAAGAAATAAAAAAATATATACTTAACATAACAAAAGTATCCACCAGAGACACCAGAGCATTTTAACACACATGGTTGTGTTTGACGTTCTTCTAAATTGCAGTCCAGAGTTTGTCAGGTGGGTTTATTTTTCTTAGTTTTTGTTTTGTTTGTTTTTTTGGATAATCTGTTCTCAGAGTTTACCTGAAAGATATTCTCCATTAAAATGTTTCCTCTAGAGTCACTGCTCGGTTTCACACAAGCAGGGATGTTTATCTTTGAGAGAACTGGCTAAGACTTCGTCACTGTGATGGTCTGAAACTGTCAGGCATAATCAGGCATACACAGATTCATTATTGTTTTCCACAGCAGTCCTCTTTTCAGTACAGTAATGTTACGATTCCCTCCATGCGATGTGTTTATGGGTAATCTGTGAATTGTTACAAAAATTGGACAAAACACAAATATAAGATTTTTTTTCAGAGCTTTGTCTTCTCTTAACTTTTTCTTATAACATACTAGACTCATGTGTTTTTGTTCTTAGCTTATCCAGTGATGTGACAAGTCAGTTTTGTAGCTTGATTTTCCCACAAGTACTTGATCGTCTTTTTCTCCACCTCATGTCTCCCTCTGTGTTCTTATTGGAAGAGCCTGTCGGAGCAAATCCCTAGAGATTGTTCAAAAAACAACTCACACTCTGAAGGAATGCTTCACCCCACTCCTACTCACTGGTGCAGCCCAGCACTGAGGTGCTGACCTCTGTCCCACATCTCAGCAGTTTTGGGATGAACACTGGAAGTTCCTCACTATTCTTTTCATCTGCTTTTGAGTTCACTAGCCGTCCAGCGAAAATGACACTTTCATTACTGTATGATCTGAAAATTTTTTTATATTCATGAGACATTATGAGCACATGTCTAAAATGAATACAGAGCTCAGCAGTGTAGGCAGATTTTCTATAGTACAGTATTACTGTTGGATTTGTATTGTTGATTATCATTTATGCTTAGAAATATCTACTTATCTATGCTTAGAGTTTTATAATTAGTTGTAGATTGATAGAGGTTTGATCCTTAGTAGTCTGCAGAGACGTTGTATGCATTCCAGAGTGTTCTGGCATTCACACCCACATTCTGGGAGCATGGGAGAGGGCATACCTTCTCTTATTGTTTTATGGTAGGATAAACGTGTCTATGTCTGTTTTAGGCTAAGTGCCTTTTGTTTAGATGAACTGTCTAAAATGAATACAGAACTCAGCAGTGTAGGCAGATTGTCTATAGTACAGTATTACTACTGCTGCTAAACTAGAACCACTGCAAACACCCATCCTATAATGGCTATGATGCAACACTGGTGGAGTTCTCTGAACTTTAACTATGCTCAGCAGTATATCAGTTATTAGTGTTTCCTCAGCAATGCTTCCTTTGCACATGTATGTTCCCTCATGTTCTGAAAATAAGTCCTGCAGTTTGAGGTTTCCTGACAGATATATTCTGCAGCTGCTAATGCTGCTTTTCTTTGGCTGTGTAGCATTTGTTACTTCCAGGTCAAGTCACAATGGTGCCATGGTTGAATGTCTAAGCAACATTTTTTAAATCACAAACACACAAATTTAGGAATTTAAACTATTCAGAATCGTGAACATGTGAAAATCCGCCTCTTTTTCTTGTTTGACACATTTAAAATTTTGGAATTGGTGGAATTTGGTAACTTGTTTTTAAATCAATAACAATGACAAAAGAAAACAGAAGAGATAACAGAAAAATAAAAGTTAAAGTTTGGAGTAAAATAGTAAATTATTTCATTTCTCAATATCCTGGTTGAATGTTTTAGGTCAGTTCGCTGTCTTTGCGAAAATAATGATACAAAAGTTTTGAAAAAACTTAAGGTTGCAATGCCTCACTATGAACATTTCAGACAATGAAAACCCATAATAACTATATCTTTCATTTTGTCTTTATGCCTTAAAGACACAATGCGTTGATCAAAGATGCTTAATTTTCCAAATTAATAATGCTTTTGCTACTTTGTGTTGGTTTTATTGACTGTGCCTTCAAATCTAAAGAGAAAGAGACTTTCTGTTTTTTCATGTCATGGATGTTGTTGAACGCTGCTTCAGTCTGACACACTATTAAATCATTGTGACTATTAGAGTCATTATAGACATCTGATTGTATCTGTCTATCTCTCACTGTTTTCAAACAAGTGATTTTTACAGAGTAGTTCAAACAGATTTTCTCATGTGTGCGTTTCGCTGTCTTTACGTTGTTGCTCAATCAATAACATTTTTAAGTTATCTAAGTGACCTATATTTATCATGTTAAACCTGAGTAGCAAAATACCGTGCTGGGTTTCTAAAACAATGTGCCGCTGTTTTCACCGGCTCTAGTGAGACTTGAACCCCAGCTAGCTATCAAGACGTCTCCAAAAATGTCAGAGCACTTTTGCAAATATGTGATATCTTGATAAACCGAGCAGATATTTGAAGTTTACACAGCTACATTCTCGCCTGCAAATATGTTAAAAGTTTATTTTATGACCCACAAAGAATAATAAGAGTCGACGAATTGGGACAGCCTTTGTCGCGTCGCTGTGACGTAATCGGCTTAGAAATGTGGCCTCAGGAGGATGCAGCTCATGAATTTGGACACGATCAATATCACCATCGCAAACACAGAAGCTCAGTCTACCTGCTGGTCAAACTTCTCTTTTATGAGATTTAATTCTTAGGGATGTGTTAATCATCAAGGTGACTTCACAGTAAATTAAGCTTAGACTCTCTGACACAACAGATTGAAAAAAGGGTTCTTTAACCGGGCCCCCCTTGTTTTACAAGAAAAATGTTCGCCCCCCCCCCACTTCTGGCACGTGCGCACGCACACGCACAGACACATCCTCCAACCACACACGCCCATATTTTGCTCCATTGCGGTTTATGTCACACCTCAAACATTTAGTAAACAATTAAGCAAACACAAGTAATCTGCAATAAATTACCGGTAGTAATAAAATAATCTACTAACTCTTTTACGCTAGTCCACACCTACACGGGTATTTTTGAAAACGCAGCTGTTTCATCGACACGTAAACGGCGTTTCGAATCACCGAAAACTGAGATTTTTAAAACTCCTTTTTTACGTTTAGTGTGGATGAGGAATACAGAGTTGGTCACACAACGTTAAAGGTATGTGCCTTTTTCACGTCACGCTGCACGCACATTATTGTTTACATGAGATGAATTGCAGAATGGCAGATAGAGACAAAATACTGTTAATCTGACTATCTGCAGGTTTTACACGCAGTTACTGTCCCTCCATTTACAAAGGCAGAGGCGTCATGATGTGATTATTTTACGTGTAGTTTTTTTTTCCTGTGTAATAATATTCAACATTGCTATCAATACATTTTTCAAAAATGCCTCTCTGTGCAAAATGGGTTTAAAAACATAAACAACTGTAGGATACTGTTTGTCCGTGATTTGAACAGCCCAGCGCTGCTCCTGATGCAGGGAAAACCAATTCTGCAGGGAGACCTACCTTGGCACTTGTGCAGGTGAAGCCAAAGGGAAGATATGCTTCACCATATTTTCTAGTCTTTGGCTTAGAATGAAGTTGGTTTGGAAACATATTCAGCGATGCTTCATCTCCTGCTTTGCGTTTCTGTGGGCGCCCCGTGCTAGCAGTGTCCAAGCGTTTTGTTTTTTTTTCCCCCCTTTTCATTCTGCAATGGCTCTGTGCCCCCCCTAGGGGGCGGGCCCCACACTTTGGGAAGGTCTGGGTTAATTAATGTATAACAGAGGGTGCAACAGTACAGATATTATGATCTTTATGAACTTCATGATTTTTTACTAATATGAAATTAAAACAAATAGCAAAAAAGGTAACATTTTATAAAAATAATTCATAATATACAATGAAAACATGTTTCCTTTATTTAGTCGTTTTGGTAAGATATCGCTTAACAACTTGCACAAATAGAACACATTTGAACAACAGAGAATTTGAAAAGAAAATGTTTATTTGTGAATACTTCATTACAAAGGGTTCTTCAAAGAGAGTTGTAATACAGATGTAACACAGGTGTGCACATAGGTGTTCACTGTTCATAGACATAAACTACACCTTTATTGGCTGCTACTTCAAAGCACATTGTGCGCTGTTGGTCTTGCGTGCTGCACAACAACATTTAGTATTGAGTATTTACTGCTGTTTATACTTATCTAGATTAACACGATGGTGTTGTGTTTAGTATGTTGCTCTGTTTTTTTTGCTTGTTTTCTCTTCTTTTTCTCTAAACAGGTGTTCCAGGAGATTTGTTTTTCTTCTTTCTCTTTTTAAGTGCCCTTTCCCACTGTCCCTCTTCCCTTCTGTTTTTCTCTTCTTCATCTTTCTTTCCTATAAATAATATCAACAAAGGTCGATCAAATGGACCATTTGGCAAAGTAAATCCTTGTTGGTCTTCAGACAACAATTCTGATGGCTAAAGAACCAAATGGGACAGGCAAAAAAACAAAGGGAGTTGTAATATACAAACACAAAGTTCTTCATTTTCCAGGTATGCTACTACTAATAATTTGAATTGAACTGGACTTCTACTTTTGTTTTGTCAAGGTTAGGAATATATCGCCACCTGTTGCTTTGGCATGATTCTAGCAGCGTTTTCCTTCATTTCTGCGTTTACGTGTGGACGTGATAATTTTTTAAAACGAAAACGGAAAATCTCAGTTTTCAAAAATATCCGTGTCCGTGTGGACGTAGCCTAATACATGATCTAAAGTGCAGAACAGACTGCTTTTTTTCAATGTGAGCATCCTCATATCAGTTGGTTGAGAAATGGCTGTCTTGCTTTGTTACTTCTTGAAATTTGCAGGAGAGAAAGATTGCGTTCAGATATATGGAAAAAAATAGGAAAAAATAACTGAACAGTAGTGCTGTAGGGCTACATGAAAAGAAGATCACACGACTGTTTCACATTATTATCTGAATTAAAAAATGTCATTTGACTGAAATTAACTGCTCTTGGGAGAGAATTGGACCGTCTTCGGGGGTTCTGATGAAGCATTGCTGTCGTCATGTTGTCAGAATTGTCTCTGCAAGCAAGAAGATATTAACGTTTAGTGAAATCAGACTTTTTCCTTTCGTGTGTATCATTGTTCGCTATTCAAAAAAACAAACAAAAAAAACATGGAGTTTTCATAACAGTCGGTCTGGTCCTATCCTTGCTTTGCCATACAAAGTTAAAATTTAAATTGAAGATGAACCTGAAGGTTCAAAGAGAAACCAAAAAGAAATAGACTTAAAATTTAAGAGGTGCCTACACAGGGAATGTATATAATAAAGTGAGTATCTTCACAGATATGTACAAGTTATATACAGGTCATTTATGCCATATAAAGTAGCAGGTGCAATATAAGGTGCAATGTGATCGGTTGTAGTGCACATTAGAGATGGCACGATACCACTTTTTTATGTCCAATACCAATATCATAAATTTGGTTATCGGCCGGTACCGATATGAATCCAATATAGTGTGTTTTTTAATCAATAAAACTGTTTTTTTAATATCTTGCTGCATTTTGTATAAGTTCATACTCAAGTTTAAAAACAAAAACATTATTTTAAAAATTATAAGTCTGTATCATAATGTCTGGTGTTTTGGTGTTTGTTTTTTATTTTGTTTTATTTCGCGAGCTGGTAGATGCTGCTCCAGCCAAAGAATCCCCCGCCGCCCTGCCCTCTCCTCCCTGTGCCGCAAGCAGCAGGCGCACCTCTTAAACAGAGGGCGCCCTTACTCCCAGCAAATGGGCGATAGAAAACCGATCGGTGCCTGTGCCATTCCCAATATGCGCTGGCATGACGTTGGGACTAATTACTAATGATTACATATTGATTTGCTTGCACTGTCAAGCGCTTCAGTGCATTCTAATAAAAAAAGAAAAATAAAACTTCTGACTTACATCTGAGTCACTTCTTGCCTCTTTGCAATTCTTGGCTCCTTGTTTTTCTTCTGATGATCTGGGGAAAAGAGAAAAAGCATCAATACAAACAGATTAACCCAAACTACCTCAAAGTCAGTTCTTTGTAAAGTAACGGGAGAAGATTATTTTATCCTTTTTCTTTTTACAGTGAATTAGCAGCACTACTTTTATTAGTACTGCTACTGCTATAGCAATAGCATGCTATAGCCAGACTGGGTGTGGTGGTGTGGAGGTGTTGGAGAGGGAACAGTGGATTATTGTTTTAAGCTTTGAGGTTCCAGGTTACAAGAGAGTTTTTCCTTCCCACTGTCGCCAAAGTGTTTGCTCATAAAGGTCATATGATTGTTGGGTTTTTCTCTGTATGTTGTATTGTAGGGTCTACCTTACAATATCAAGTGCCTTAAGGCAATTGTTGTGATTTGGTGCTGTATACATAAAATTGAAATGAATTGAATTACAGTGGAATTACATATTTATATAAATATAGTGATTTTTTAATATTCATAACATGTTTCTCTTTTACACTGTTAGTCAGACAGAAGTAAGAAAGCTGTATATTTTTTATGATAATGCTCCTGTTATGTCATGTGCATTAATGTGAGCATAGGCTTGATGCAAAAACTTGGTAGGGATTTAATAAACTCATATAGCAAAGTTTCACTTCATTAACACTTACGAGTTGAATATATTGTGATATCAAGGGCAAGTTAAAGCAAAGTAAATATTTTGGCATCATGCTGCTCCGGTATTTGCTTCACTTACCTGCTCGGGAAACTCTCAGTAGCCACAGAAACTCCACGACCACCAAAAACATAGTGCAGGAGACCCTGATCATATTTCTCTAAGATTTCATGTGACGGTGCAGCAGTGAACAGAAAAAATTACCATACGGGGTGGCAGTTACATCCAGATAGGCAGGTTTGTCATTCCTTTAAGTCAAGTTTGAACATGCCTGAAATACAAGGAAGAAAAAACAAATGCTGAAAAAAGAAATGCTGTTAACAGTCATTGCCCTTTTCAGTTCTTTTAACTGCAACAGTTCAGTTTACACACAGAACAACAGAAAAACCTGCAAAACAAATCCAACTATGCAACACAGAGGACAAATCTCTTTCTACAGTTGAAAAAAACTGAATGATTATTATAAGTTCTTCAAAAAGAAAGTCCAATGCAGACTGTAGCAACGTTATGTACATTTTCCCAGTTAGTGGTATGTAAGACATCAAGCAAGCATAACCTAAATAGGAAGATTACAGATAGATATGAGTAGATGGAAGTCAGAAAAATCTCAGGAATATGTCCTGAAAATAGAAAATGCCCCAAAGCAGCTGAAGGAATGAAATGGAATTTACATCGAGAAAAGCCAAAACAGTGTTAGCAGTGTAATGCATTTGTTAATGATTCCAACGTTTTTCTACTTGGTCTGCAAAAGAAACATCCAACAAATAAGTTTTTCATTTTAAATTGTATGTCTCACAAAGACAGAAACTCGAGCCATTAAACAAAAATGTTTTATATGTTTCGGTGATTAGTTTATTTTCTACAACATCCCAGATGTGTGCTGATTTCATTACTTTTTCAGGTGCTGTATCAGAAATCACCACAACAAACAAACAAATGTGTCGATTAAAACAGACTATTTTTTAAAATGTATGTCAATGAGCAGAGTTTAACAGTCTCAAACCTAGAACCAGATGATCTGGTTCACGAGTAACAGAGTTAGTTAGATCTCAAATGCCCTACGACGGCCAGAAACTTAAAATTAAAACAGCAAGTATGAAATCACACCCAGTCAGACCACAGCGAGGAACAAGAAAATGAGAATCTCTCACCCACACATTAGTTTCATAACTCTCCCGACAGCCTGTGTGCAGAAACCCACCGGAGAACAGTACGAGGCAGGATTTAGCACTCCGTGAAGTAGCTCCACATGTGTTATGGATGTGAGTCACTGCGCTCCAGATCTTCGTTCCAGATATGAGAAAAACAAAATGCGAAAGCTCCGCCTACGGATGGGAAGGAGAGTGTCATTCCTCCAAGATCCCGAGAAGCTTGGAGTGCAGGTAGAAAGTTTCTAGTTTTTCTGACGAGCTTCAATAAGAAATTTCGATTCTGTTTTCATTAAAACAGCAAAGATTTCCAAATAAAGTTAAGCCAAGGCTGGATGTTAACCTGACACACAGGCACGGACACGGTGTATCAGATTAATTTTCTTTATCGATATAATTATCAGACTACATTCTTGCATAAAGGACCTACGAGCACCTAAACAGCCCATTGGTTTATTTCCAGTACTGACACTGGATTGTCCAATCAAATCTCTTAACGCAAAAGACCCCTCCACAGTGTTTCTTGTGAAAGAAGTGTTTGATAAAGATGAACAAAGAAAAGCGAAAACGTTTAGTTCAAAAGCTCAGAGAAAAAAGTAAACTAGAAATAGATGCAGGAAAATGTGTTAAATGAAACTGCTAAACCTCAGCAGCTGCACCAGCGACAACAACTAGTAACTTGTTTTTAAATCAATAACAATGACAAAAAAAAAAAAAACAACAGAAGAGATAACAGAAAAATAAAAGTTAAAGTTTGGAGTAAAATAGTAAATTATTTCATTTCTCAATATCCTGGTTGAATGTTTTAGGTCAGTTCGCTGTCTTTGCGAAAATAATGATACAAAAGTTTTGAAAAAACTTAAGGTTGCAATGCCTCACTATGAACATTTCGGACAATGAAAACCCATAATAACTATATCTTTCATTTTGTCTTTATGCCTTAAAGACACAATGCGTTGATCAAAGATGCTTAATTTTCCAAATTAATAATGCTTTTGCTACTTTGTGTTGGTTTTATTGACTGTGCCTTCAAATCTAAAGAGAAAGAGACTTTCTGTTTTTTCATGTCATGGATGTTGTTGAACGCTGCTTCAGTCTGACACACTATTAAATCATTGTGACTAGACAGCCGTTTAATTAGAGTCATTATAGACATCTGATTGTATCTTCATGACCATAACACTGTTTTCAAACAAGTGATTTTTTACAGAGTAGTTCAAACAGATTTTCTCATGTAAGATAAGATAAAAGATGAGATAAAACTTTATTAATCCCTCGGGTGGGTTCCTCTGGGAAATTCGGTATGCGTTTCGCTGTCTTTACGTTGTTGCTCTGAGGAATTGAATCCAGAAGATATGATCATCAGTAGAGATAACATAAACAAAATGAACTGCAAAGTGAAGGGAGAACATCATTTACCTCTTCTGCTTTTATACAGGATGAAGCCTACTGCTTCTTCTGTAACCACAATAGGTCTAATCACCCCTCCTAAAATAGCTCCTGAATATCCTGAAACACAAAGAAACAGAGTCAGTTTTAATGTCTTTTGGCTCAAACCTCATCACAACTCTGAACTGGATCTTTTTTTTTTTTTGTCAAAATGATTATATAATTTCTTGATTTATAAAGCTTTTATATAATTTGCTTTATGGCTTTATTGGAAGAGGTTTGACGTCAAACACATAAACAAACTTAAAATGGAGATGGAAGACCAAGTAAAATTAATTTTGAAAGATGTCAATGGTTACTTGCTGAACTATGAAATCAAGCATGTTTTCTGTTGCATACTGTGGAGTAAACGTCATATAATATTGGCTTCTGCCTACATAATTAAACAGGTACGGAGGTTCAGACTCAAGCTGCCTCTCCTTTACTTGTCTTTAAGATGGCACACAGACCAAATCCAGCACTTTTCAATCTTTTATTCTTTCCTGATTGTCACTTTTGCTTCTTAATAACCTGGCATTAAACAGCTGCACTTAACCTGAAAGCTAACATGTTAGCTAACATTAAATGGCACCATGTTGATGCTTAAATCAGACAATTAAGAAAGTATGTGATTGAGTGTAACAACAGGTGCTTATATTTTAGAAATGTCTACTAGATAATATGTACTAGGAAAAAATGGAAAAAATATGTATTCTTTTGGTTTAATTCAATGTTTAGCATTACAGCAGCTTTCATATTAAGATAGTAATCAGTTCCATTGTCTTTTTTGACTCAATGACAGTAGTTAAAACAACCTTAAACAAAATAAACTAATTAATTTGATTTATTAAATGGGTAGTTACTTTTTCTTAAAGTTTTTGTTGTCTCTTCAGCATCACTAACTTCACATGTGTAAATTCCCTCCTGAAAACTTCTGCTTCCATTTCTCTGAGATTGTGTAGTTGGTCAGAGTCCTATTCAGGATGAGCCTGATTATGGTTGAATCTCTACATGAGTTGAATGTTTGAGGGACTGCATGAGATTGTGTTGTCATACTCATGCACATTTTCAGAAGCTGAAATATTATTCCAAAAACACAAAATTTCCAGCAGGTGATCTAGCAGATTTTTAGTGTCTTTTCTGTCTCTCTCTCTTCCCCTCTGTTTTTCTTTCCCTCTCCTTTTGTTGAGCCTCTTCCCGGCTTCTCTTTTCTTTGTCTTTCTCTGTCCTCTCCCGCAGTCCTGTCTGTTTCGACTGTAATAACTTATTACAAGTAAAATAAATAAATAATAAAGATTGAAAAAACTATGACAATCAAGTTGCCCAGTATGGCAAAAGCCATAATGATCCATTTGGGAAGATAAATCTGTTGGGCAGTTTTCTTGGCCTTCAGACAATAATTCTTGTTGGAGCTATTTGTTCTTATTTTTTATTATTTTGAAATTAGTTAAAGTTTGTTGTTAGTTTACTTATATTTTGGGGTTTATTTACAAGTTTATTTGTAGGTTAATATTTGTTTCAATGTTTTGTTTGTTTGATGTTACCTTGTTAAATTAGTCAGTAAGAGCTGTAGGGCCATTTTGTTTCTATAAATAAAGAGACTGGTATAGGACCAGCATGCACTGGGGTGGGCCTATGGTTTTTTACCAGAGCAGGAGAAGCAGCAGGAAGCAACAAAAATGGATCTTGTTATTGCTTGCCAAACTGGATAAAATAAACCATAAAAACGCAACTTTCAAGTCTGGACAGTGGACTTCTTTTGCCTGCGTACGAAATATTATCTCAGTGCAGCAGGGGCTTGTGGACTTTTAATTGTGGGATGTTCGGTTTGTCAAACAAAAGGAATTGCCACTAGAAAAAGTAAAAAACCTGCCCGTGGACAAAGGAATAATCCTTCATTAATGGATATGTTGGATATATGGCTTTCAAGGATCACCGTCGAACTCGAATAAAAGTTATTGGATCGTCTGTGAGTAATCCAGACGGATTTGATGTTGAAGCCTGGATCAACATGTCACTCGTTCATCAAAGCTGGTGAGTGATGATATTGTTTAAGCCTTAAAGGAAAACGGTGAAGCTATTGGAGTTTAAAGACATTATTTCACTACAAAGACTGATGAACTGACTTTTGATGTACTAAATTTGTGCATAATAGCATCACTAATTGAAACATGCCAACGCCCTCTGTGGAAATTGTTGGAGAGGATTGTGAGTTGGGCACCTATTAAAAGTGAGGATGTGAAAGGTCTTCAGTCATTCTCTCTTTTTCTTAAAGGATGTTCGAATCTAACACAGCAAGTTGTTTATATGAAGGAGTTGGATTTGCCCTCAAATATGAGAATGATTGTTATGAAGCTTCCATACAAATTGAGGGAAAAATGGAGAGTTGTTGCCTATGAACTGCAGGAACAAAATGGTCACAGAGCAGTGTTCACTGATCTGGTTGCCTTCATAATAAAACAGGTGAAAGTAGCATCAGATCCAGTGTTTGGCAACATCCAAGACTCACAATCTGGAAGCAGCTTTAAAGTTTCAAGTTCCACCAGGCAAAGAAAAAAGGGTAGTAGTTTTGCCACTAATGTCAGTACAGTGCCAGGAGTCAAAACTCAATCAACTCTTCACAAATTCCACTGTTCTGCATAGTTGTTTGTTTTATTCACACAGCAATCATTTACTAGAGAATTGTAAGCAGTTTAAAGCTAAAATGCATTGGGATAGGTTGACTTTTATCAAGGAAAGGGGAATTTGTTTTGGTTGTTTAAAAGTTGTTCACACAAGCAAAGACCTGTAGGAGTCGTTTGGATTGCAAAGTGTGTCACCAAAAGCACCCAGGGGTTCTTCAAATAGAGCGAAAAGATCCAGGAGTACCCTCAGAACAAACTCAACATATGACAAGCTCTGATGTCCACTTTTCAACTGCAACCACTCAGACATGTGGGCATATTGGGGCCGGTCATGAAGTTAATGTAGTTTTTCCTATAGTTCCAGTTGAAGTTAAGAGCCAAAAGAGCAATAAAATTGTGCAAACCTATGCATTTTTGGATCCTGGAAGTTCAGGTACATTCTGTACAGAAACCCTGGCAAAAAGACTGAATCTTAAAGGTAAAAAGACCAATATCCTTTTGAGAACAATGAGTCAAAATAGGATTGTTAGTGCACAAGTTCTGTCTGGTTTGGAAGCAAATGATTTCATGGCGTTGCCAGATGTTTTGACTCAAAAGACCATGTCAATTTCTACAGTCAATATTCCCCAGCAAGGCGACATCGATCAGTGGCCTCATCTTAAACCTGTTGAACTTCACAACATTGATGCAGAGGTGGAGCTACTGATAGGCACTGATGCTTCCAATGTTTTAGAGCCATGGAAGGTGATAAACAGTGTAGAGGGTGGACCTTATGCTGTAAAAACAAAAGTTGGCTGGGTCATAAATGGTCCCCTGCGCACTGGAAGTAACAGTGGAAATAAAAACAACTGCACTGCTGTAACAGCCAATAGGATTTCTTTTGAGCGTCTTGAAGACATGTTGATTAAACAGTACAATCGTGATTTTAATGAAAGATCCTCAGAGGAGCAGACTGAAATGTCCAGAGAGGATATGTGTTTCATGGATATTGTTAGTAGTTCAATAAAACTTATTGGAAATCATTATCACATTGATTTGCCTTTCAGGAGAGAAGGTCCTAGCTTGCCAAATAACCTCTGTGTTGCGGAGCAGCGTCTCCAGAGTCTCAGACGGAGATTTGAAAAGGATACTCATTATAAGGATGAATACACTGAATGTGTAAACAACATGCTTGAACAAGGATATGCCAAGCTTGTGTCTGCAGATGAGTTGCACAAAGATGATGGAAAGCAGATCAACTTCCAGTTGAGAGAGCACTGGGTTTACAGTGGTGCATAGAAACAGACAAGTTCCAGTTCAGAACCTCCCTGCAGGACCGTCCAACAACCAGAAGGGGCATTTTGTCTGTGGTCAGCTCACTGTATGATCCTTTGGGAATCTTGTCTCCCTTCAGTATGCCAGCTAAACTGTTGCTACAAGAGCTTTGCCAAGGAAATTTGAAGTGGGGTGAAGTTATTCCCCACTCTCTTTCCCAGCGGTGGCATGATTGGCTGGAGGATCTCCAGCTGATTTCAAAGTTCAAAGTGGAATGTTGCATTAAACCAAGTTGCTTTGGAAGACCAAATAAGGCACAACTTCATAATTTTTCTGATGCAAGTCAAGATGGTTATGGAACAGTGTCATATTTAAAGTTGGAAAAGAATAACATCACGCATGTTGCTTTTATCCTGGGAAAGGCTAGAGTTGCTCCTCTCAAGCAAACTACAATTCCCAGGCTGGAATTGACAGCTGCAGTTCTTGCAGTTCGAGTGAATATGCTGAGTGAACGACTCAGAGGGATTGGTGTTTCCTCCAG